GTTTGTATCAGTTCTCATTGGTCAGATACGTGTATCAAAATCGTGTATAATTCTATATATATATATGTAGGTTTGTATGCCTAAGTGAGCAACGGATGGTAATCTCTATATTTAATTGTGTGCATTTATGTTATAGAGTAGTTTCACAGTGGAGGCTTGCATTTCACTAAGTCGGTCCTAAAATAGGTTCGACGTACAAAACGTTAGGAACTTGATATAATAGTTAATGACGCAGCAATCTAGTTGTGGTGGCTGATACTTTAATGTCCGACATCGACTGACTGACCAACTCACTATGCTCACTGGCGACGGCTACTACTCCTACTGATTATAGGTGGGAGAGTCTATTAACAATAAAATAGGTATGTTCCGGTATAACAGTTTAATTGTTATTTAATTGTCTGTCTAGTTGGCGTTTTATGTTCACCTTTGTGCGGTCAGCCCGCGTAGCGGGGACTCACTAGGTTCTGATTTATGGTTCGCCTCTTTAAGAATGTATTCTAGGTATTAGATAGCTGTAAGTTAGATTCTTTAAGAATGAATAAAAAAAATGTGGCGATGTAATGTAATGTTTTAGGCGTGTGTTTATAGTTGGTAATAATGTAATTATTAAGTTACAATGTATATTCTCCTTAAACAATTATGTTCTTTTTTTAATTAAGATAGCGTTAGTGAAATCAAATTTATGTCCAGCATCGTTTCGATGCAAAACGAGAGAGTTAGACCGATTGTCTAAACGCAAGTCTCCTTTGTGTTCGTAGATGCGGGCTTTTAGTTCACCTGATATCTCACCTACATAAACATCTTTGCATTGTAAAAATTTTTTTTTATAAATCCCGGCATTTGAATTGGTGTTGGGTTTATTTTTCTTCCTAATTATATCTCCGACCGTCTTGGCGGTGGTGGTAACGGTCCTAGTATTCAGGGATGAGTAATCTGTCCGTGACTTTAGGGGAAAGAGTGTTCGAGAGCAGGATTATGAATTTTGTGTGATTTTTGTTAGAAATGTTATTGGTGGTGTTTATTTTTTTTTTTAAGTTTTGTGGCTGACCACATATGGAGAGAGAAGGGAGATCACCGCCCTCTGTGGGATCATATTGGATCATAGATAAGGAACACCATTGGAAAATTCGTAAACTTAAGGAATCAGCACATATGCTATGCCACAAAAATCTCCTGAGCCGACCAAGCATAGAAATAAATACAATATGGGAACCAGTAATAAAGAGGGCCAGAGAAAAGCAATGATAACAACAAAGTTTCAATATGAGCTCTGGTAAAAACATGAAATGATAACAGCAAAATTGCAATATGAGCACTGGTAAAAATTGTTGCTGAACATTAGGTTTATAATACCCAGAAATTCATACCCAGATGTCCTCAAGGACACATGGCACAGTGGATAAAGGCATTGATTAGATCCAGTGACAAAGATTGTGAGTTCAATACCCGGTTAAGGCAGTGGAGACCTTTCAGAGGGAAATTAACAGGAGATAACTGATAGCTGACATCCATCAAACATGGCACAAGGAACTAGAACAGTCTTCCCCAGTGATTGAAATAAAGGGTTCAGTTCGAAATTCCAACCACCAGAAGAAGGCCGGAGCGTACAACGGCCGAAACGTTGGCGACAAAGATGAGGATATTAGTCCGAATAATGTAAATGATGTACATAATAACTTATCTCAGAATATATAGACAGACTCAAAATATTACCCGCAATAAAAATCTTATTAAATAACCCATTGCTCTGCTAAGAATGAATGCTAAAAAAATAATTGGAATGCATATTTCGCAATGATGTTCACACTGTACAACGCCTAAGACTCTCTTCAGGCAAAGAGTTACAGAGTAAGAGTCGCAGATATGAGAGGAAGATATATCCATGACCCAAGACTTGAACATTGGCTCGTTCGAAAAAGCTGCTCGAGTGGAAGTTCCATCTCACCAATGGAAACGAACGGAAGGATTATTAGTAGAATTCTTAAGAGAAATTAACTGAATTGAGTCTGATTTATTCGTTTAAATTTGTCAAATCTGGACATCTATTCTCACAGCCGTATATAGTGTAGGGACTTAGTTCCAAAACAGATTGGTTAAGACGATAAACTACATCCAACTGCAAGCCCTCTGATTGGGACATTTTGAGGAGCGTGGAACCACCTCTTGATTGCTGTTGTTGCCAGGTCTACCCTTCCGGCAGACAGGCCTCTGACAGGGAGATTAGATGCTTTTGTGGAGCGTGGAACCACCGCTTAATTGTTGCACACTATTCCGGTAGCAAGGCCACTGATCAGAAGTTTCGAGGTTTTGTTGAGCGTGGAAACACATCTTCATTGCTGTGGTACCAAGGTCCACACATCTGGTAGCAACGTCTCTGAAACTGAGATTGGAGTTTTGAGGAGCGTGGAACCACCTCTCAATTGCTGTTGTTCCAAGGTACACCCTTCCGGCACACAGGGCCTCTGACAGAGAGATTGGAGGTTTTGTGGAGCGTGGA